AGTAAGTAATCCATTCCTTCCTCTTATCACCTTCTGTAGGTGATTCTTAAATTTATGAAGGTCTGGATTCTAGGCCAACTAATCTTAGAATCATACTTGAATATACAATGTCACTTTTTTTTTTTTAATTTCAGTTCTTCTCAAAACCAAATTCTCATTGGGAGTTTTCTATTCCCTGCTTCTTAAAAATCTCTCATTTTTCTTTGATGACACTGCCACTGGGTCATTTTCTCCTCTGTGACTGTCTTGTTTCAGCCTAATTTGTCACTGCTCTTTTTTTTCTGATTTCCCGTTGACTTGTATCTTTGTTATCTAACCACGGTGGACACATCCATCAGTTCAAATGCAGTTGATATCTGGATGACATTCGTACCACTAGGTTTAACTCAGACACTTCCTGATTCCCTGATATCTGATTCGAGATAATTTCCAATCCTTTACTTGAAAGCTTCCTTAGGACAGACATTGAGAACTCCTTAAAACATTCCTTGAGTTGAACTTTACAACTTTTCTTTTTCTCTTCTTCATTGTCTTCATGAACAATACTACCCAAAACACAAGCCAGAAATCTGAGTGTCTGATATTGCTCTTTCTTCCAACTGCTCTGTTTAGAGTTATCAAAACCTTAGATCTGTTGTATATAGTCTATCTCCCCCCTCCACCTATGTCTATGGCTATGATTAAATATGCATCATTTTGCACTAGGCTATTGAAATGAGTTTCAAAGTAATATATGCATTATTTGCTACAGGGCACATGCACTTACGAGAGAGAGACAGAGAGAGTGATAGAAAGAAAGTGGGAAATTACCCCCTTAGGGATTGTGAGCACATCACAATCCCTTTTCCTTCATTCTCCTTCAAGGAATTTGGACATGCACATGCACCTGGCTTGTTTTTCAAGGGGCCAGGTCTAGGACTTGAACTGTGCAGTTGGATACAGGAGACTCAGATTTTAGCCACCAAGTGAAATGGCTGATCTCCAAATGTTTATATTTTTTACATGCTTAAAAAAATATTAACCATTTCCTCATGCACAGTCTCTTTAGAATGGCATTAAAGGCTCCTTTGGTTGGTCACAGTCTAAAATTGTTGGACTCTATTGAATCATGGGCCCTCTGGAGACTCCCTGATGAATACTATAGATTGTTTCTTTAGAAACATGCACACTCCCCTGGCACACAAACTAGCACATTGATGTGTGATGTCAAGGGTTCATGGACTCCCTGAAGTCTGTTTAGAATCCCATGAACCAACCTGATCTCTTGCCATACAACTTCCCAATTCCTTCAGCAATGCCAAAGTATTTACAATTCCCCTTAAATGCCATGTCATTTTTTGCTTCATGATGTCATTTCACACAACCCCTGTTTGCCCCATTCACTTGGTAATGGGATACAATTCATTCACATTTTACTCAGAGATCACCTCTAAGTTTATACTTATTTTTTCCACATATATATAGATCATGGTTATTTTTGTCCTTTATAGCCCTATTATATATGACTTCTATCATAAGATAGAAGGATAGATACTGTAATTTAAGGCTATCCTTAAATGATAGAAAGGAATATATTTGATAAAAAGGATGTCCACTGACCCAAGTATTAAGGGTTATTTTGAAATTGAAGAAAGATAAATTTCTCCAATCAAGTTAGTACCATTTAAAGATTTATAATGGAAGCAGTATTTAAATTGGCTTTAAAATCTATAGAGGATTTGAAAATGCAAAGATCAAAAGTAGAGTAGAAGACAGATGAGAATTGTCATAGTCAGACTATAGTTACCAAACTGCTTTCTCTTATAAAAGCTAAAATTTTGATTGTGTATTGGATTCTTTATCCAGCTCTGAATGAATAGCAAGAAATTATTATTCATGTGACTCTGGCAAATTATTCTCTGATCTACATTTTTATGATTTTTAAAATTCATGTTGAGCTACTTTTTCTAATTGTTAGCTTATTACTGTATTTACTGATATGTAAGATATAGAACATTGTTTCACAAAATGAGTTTTTAGGAAATCTATTGCAATGGAAAAGTCATTCCAGCAAGTATTGAAGGGGCTATTAGGCTTATGATTAAGACTCTGAGAAGTCCAGTGTTAATAAAATGGCACTTGGGCCAGCAGGTGGTGTGATGGTTAAGGCACTCAACTTCACATGGCCAACCATGGTTTGAGTCCCAGACCTGGTAGTTTGCCTGCTTGTTGTCTCTCTCTGGTGAGTGCACATGCTCTATATAAAAAATAAAATAATAATAATAATAAATTAAATTAAAAATAATTCTTCTGAAAAGGTTTTAAAAATAAAACCTTACTTATTTTACCACTTATTTGCCCATAGAATCCCTTTTTCCATAGAGTTGTTATTATTTTAAGGGACTATTTCTCCACAGTTTGGAAATGATAATGAATGAAGAATATTCATCTGCTATGTACTCTTCCTGTGTGATGTTGTTTTGTTTTTGTCAGTTTATTTCTGCCAGAGGGAGCATGTGTTTACTAGAGAAAGACAGAGAGAGAGAAGGAGAGAGAGAAAGTGAGAAAGCAACCTCCAGGAGGCATGGCCATGCTTCAATCCCTTCTCTCCATTTCTCCCACCTTTTATAACTTGGATATGTACACACACACATACCTTGTGTGTTTCTTGAGCCACTGGGTCTGGTACTCAAACCATGCAGTCAGTCATGTGGGATCCAGATGCCCCAACTACTATGCTATGGGCTATCCCATGCTGTACAGTATTTCTAAACAGACCTATTTATTAAGCATCCAAAATAAGTTCTCTCATAGTTTTTCTTACATCTCAAAGAGGAGATTTTAATATACCTCTTAAGTTAAAGCATTTTTATCATAGACTATCTATATGTTGTAAATATTTATTATTTAATGACCAATTGTAAGACAAATGTTCTAATGTATTACAGTGAAATTAAATCATTGTAACACAGATCTTTGGAACCAAAAGGAAGGCTTCATTTCAAATACTTTTCCCCCTCATCATTTATTTGAAGCAACTGAAGTTCAGAAAAGTTTAAGAACTTTATGACTATCACAGAAGGGGTCTTACTGGAACCACAACTTAAAAATTGATTGCTTGACTAAGAATCCAGTATTCTTTTGTTGCTTACTAATGTAATTCATCGTTTAATAATCCATTTATAAATAATACAGCTGATTCTGCTTGTGATGATGACAGATTTTTCATGACTTAAGTTCTGAAACAAAATCTAGAAGATGTCATGTATATTTTAAGTGCATAATCATTACTAAAAATGGTTAAAATAACATCTTGCCTATTTGAGAACAAAGCCTTAAAATAACTTAAAAATAAAACGGTGGTATTAAGAAACATTTTAAAGGTATTTAGGCTTTTAGCAATAATGACTCTATAAAATTTCTATAGTTAGAAAAGTAAAGTGGAAGTCAATTTCTTTTTATTCTTCTTTGGTTGTTTTTCATTTAATAAAATGTTTCCTACCAACATGAAACCACTCAGGGATCAAAGTCATTAAGAAAACACAGCAGATCGTGCTTATTAGTTGATTCTAACCAGTTCTGTGGTTTAAGCATAAGCTGCTTTGCCAAGGCAGAGGCATTTTCATCTGCTAGAAAACATAAACCTTTAAAATTGGTTTCCACTGCAGCACATCATACCTCCTTCCTTAATAAGTTTTAAAAAATTAGGAGACACAGTGGCCTCAATCAACCATATAGAAATATTTTTAAAAGGGAAAATATATGCTATGCTATCTTTATATAAATTTTCTTTTATTAAAAGTTTATTAATGACAATACCAGATAATAATATAGAGTTCAGGATATGTCATGGTATAAGGAAATATGCTACTACATTTTTTTCGGTAAAGAAAGTATTTGTGTGTACATAAAGAAACGCTTTGATTCCACAAGACACATCCAACCTTTTGATGATTAAGGAAATGACACACAACATTTAATATTTTAACTAGACAGTATTAAATGTAAAATCGAGATCCAACAGGCTTAGCGCCAACATGTCTGTAATTTTTATCACCATATGGAAAATTAATGTTGCAGTGTCAAACATAGCAATAAAATATGAAGAATAAATGTGTATTTACTGAAGAAATATACACTCAGAAAGTTGAAACATTAATAAACCATTTACATCGCTTCCTACTCCTCACTGGCTTCTTCAGTGGGCTATCAGGAATCCTTGCAAGCAGACCAACAGATCTCAGGCTGAGTTTGAGAAAGCTGTTGAGGAGATTAAGCATCTCAAGGCAAAGCCAGGGGACAACTAGATGCTTTTTATTTACAGTGGCTACAAACAAGATGTAAATACAGAGCAGCCTGAGATGTTGAAGCTCAAAGGCATAGCCAAGTGGGATGCCTGGAATGGGCTGAAAGGGACTCCCAAAGAAGAAGCCATGAAAGCTTACATCAACTAAGTAGAAGAGCTCAAGAAAAAGGATGAAATACGAAAGAATGGTTTTGGTTTCCAGCTATGTGTTGAACCTAAACTAATCTACAATGCCTTATTTTTTCTAATATCGTGGATTATGTGAAATAATGAAAATAATGAGTAGAGTTCCTCAGGGCTGATTGGGATATGACTCTCACAGGTTAGGGGATGAAACCATTCCTGACCTTTCCTGAATGATTTTTATCAGTGACCAAATAGAAGTTCACTTGTTACTTTAAAAAATATAATAATTAAAAAATAAGGTTTATGATAAAAAACATATATCCAAATTGATTTTTAATATTTTATCTTGCAGGTTTTCTATTCTCCCCTTGCTCTCTTCATACCACCTTCAGTATACGCCGTGCATTCTCAGTTCAATCTTCTCTACCAATTTTGGATACATAG